GCGAAGATACTGCTTATTACTACCTTATAGCATTTAAACCTGACTTACTTCCTAAGAAATAGACTAACTGTGGATTAGGGATAAGCTATCGTTACATTTTGACTAGTCCTGTTTAGTAAGTTACCCTTGAAACCTTAAGCAGCTAACCTTTCACGATGTCCACCGCAAGCGGAAACACCACTAACCCTAGCAAGGTTATTGCAGACCTTAACAGCAAAGTCAAGTACCTTCATGCATAGCTAGAGGAAATGAAGCTTAAGAAGCCGGAGAGGAAAGAAGCTACTGCGATGCCCAAGTTTCCTAAACCTGACATGTTTGATGGAGCGAAGGGGGATGTTCGCACCTTTCTTACTTAAGCAAAAGCCTATTTGAAGGTTAACGACACCCTTGATAAAGAATCCACTAAGATTCTCTACATCGGAAACCTTCTCACGGGCAAAGTGATGGAATAGTGGGAGCTAACTCTTAGAGACTACTTTGACAATGAGGAGCCTAATGATGAAACCGCTCAAATCTTTAAGAAGTATAAAAACTTTAAAGAAGTTCTGTAGACTGCATTTGGTGACCTAGACGAGGTTCGAACCGCGACACGTAAGATCAAAACCCTAAAGTAGACCGGATCTACTTAGCACTACGCACGCGAGTTTAGACGCATTGCTACTAAACTTGATTAGGACGACGAAAGCCAAATAGAACTCTTCTATGACGGACTTAGGGAAGACGTGAAAGATAAGATCTATAAGGAAGATCGACCAGACACTCTCGACACCTTCATCGAAATAGCGATTAAGATCGACAATCGCAACTATGCTAGACGTATGGAAAAGGGTGGTCGAGGGGGGAACAACTTTCGACCTGTGAACCGACGCTATCAGGCGAACATAGGAAAACGACGAAACGGATCCACGGCCTACAGAACTCACCTAGGCCCGATAGAGCTCAACGCCACCGGAAAAGAGAAAGAAAAGAAATACTATAACTGTGGGAAGGCTAGACACTTCGCAAACAAGTGCAGAGCACCTAAGAAACAGTGGAAGCTAGTTGCTAAGGGAAAGGGAGTATACGCGGCTTATCGCGAAGAACTACCCGTCTGAAATATCAGTATGGTGAATAGCGAAGAATACTTCTCGGATACCGATCGATTTATAGATTACGATAAACCAACATCTGACGAAGACTGGGACTTTAGAACTTAACCTATCCCAGACGAGGAAGAAGACCTCGAAATGACTAGATCGGAAATCGAAGTGAATGTAGACGTGGTCCTAGAGACACCTCCGAATAAAAGGGAGGATCTCAAGATCACTAAAGAACTAACTAACGAGTACACGATCAAAGGACGATCTTGTTATAAGAATGGACAACTTGATATGGTTTTTATTTAAGGAATGGATGTTTCGGACCCTACCGTACTTATAACTATCCTAGCAGACGCTAAGGAAGGAAGGTCACTAACTCCAAGAATTAACCTAAACACACCTGAGGTGGGCCTAACGCACCGAGATCATACAACCATCTCATAGGCTTTATGCCCTTATAATAATTGCAGACGCCACCTCTAGAGGAAAATCGAATACCGAATGTTCCCTGAATATAATCCGTACGACGGACCCTAGGCTGAAAAGGAACTCCGAC